CAAGCGTGAACTTTCACATTAGGTAGGTGAGCCTGCAGAGAAACTCAGTCTTAATGAAATCTAATAATCAAATTATTTATAATTCAATACAGTAAAACAAAATCCCGCTACAATGTTTCCTAGATCATATCTACGCTATAGTGGGATTCTGTAAAATTGCCTACATTCAAATTGCATTATTTTTAGTAACTTGGTTTCTAAATCAGAAAATGCCCACAATATAAGTGGTCAGGTATAAAATTGACTTCCAAATTTCACCACTAGGGCCAAAGACCATGAATTGATAAGCAAGGGTTATTACATACCTGGGACTTTCTCTTATATGGGGAAGCATCCTTTAGGAGTTGCATCTGCCAAGCCTGTTGCCCAAAGCTCCTACTGAAGTACAGCCTTGTTTATCTTCAGAGGTGACAGGAGAGAAATATACTCTTCCTATGACTGTTTTTAAGACACACTATGCGGTTGTCATGCACTACAGGTAGTATCTGTATCAAGAATAGCTTCTTCAGTGGAAAGAGTCTTCCTGTTCCCCAGGTAGGGCCTGGAAAAGTGGTATTACAATATAAAAAATATGAATCAGCAGCATCACTTTAACTGAGAAATGGGATACATTAACAAGGAATTAAAACATTGCCAGAAACTTCATTTCTGCCATTCCTCCTCTCATAAGGAAGATTAGGTCTTGCAAATGCTCTCTCTTTGATAAGATCACCCCAGCGAGGTGTCAGGGAACAGCTTGAGAGGGCCATTTATCCTAAAGCAAACCTATCCAGAGTAGTGAGTTGTTGGCATCTATTCCTTCAGGTCCATGAGAGTAGCAGCATCTAAGCTGTTGCAACAAAGTCCTAGTGAGCATCTCACATTAAGGGCTCGCAGAAACAAAACTTTGACAGAGTGGGGAAATATTCTGTTGTGCACACATACCCCACCTGTCCTCATTGTTGCTTGTAGCTGAGACCTTTCCCTGAGCATCCTGTAGGTGTCTCATTTGTATCTCCAACCATATTCCAGGACTCTCAAATTGACTCATAGTCACCTGAGTTTGAGTACCCCTTTGGACTAGACTGCTGCCACTGAATCCCGAAAACAACTTGGCTCTAAACTATGATACCCCTAAGCAGCTACTAATCTCAGACACTCAACCCTGCATTCCCTGGTTTTCCCTCACCACCAGATCTGCTACATCAGTCTACTCATATGAACTGTAGCAAGAGAGGCTGTAAAATAGGATATAAAGTATCAGTCCTAATAGAGGAGGAAAACCAAGTATGTGTGACTCAGAAATCAGAGTATAATTTCCATTTCCTCCTAAGTCTCACGGAAATCATTCTTTACTTAGGGACATAATGGAGCAGTACAGTTTCCTCCTCAATCAGCATCCAAGGCTGCTGATTCTGAGAATGAGTGAATGGAAACTCAGATGGCTGCCTTCCAGACCACAGGTTAACTGAAAGGTATTAAATGTTGCTCCCCAAGGGAATAAGCTGAAATTCTTCTACTTTCCCTTCCCCCATTGTCACACCAAAGGTGTTTCTTAGTGTTTTATCTGCTTTTCAACAGTGTAACACTTAAATCAAGGACAACTACTGGTCTATTTGGTTTGCCTTTAGAAAGACTACAAAACAACTTCAGTTTTCTTGAACTCTATCCCCCGCCTCAAAAAATGGTCAACATGCTAAGCCAACTTGACTCCCACCAGTAGGTAAGACAAAATTATAAATGTGTATTTTGTTCAACATGGAATGAACTCTGGAACAAAAAGTAAATCTGGCTTAACACTATCTTCTTTGTGTGTACAAGGGCTGGGAGAAGCCAACAGGCTAGCCTCCAGCTCTGAGACCCCTAGGTTGGGGAAAGCTACTTCATTTCTTTCTGCCCGTGCCAATTTTTCCATAATTCATCCAAGGCTAATAGCAGCTTAAATGGTCCAGATTATTACTGGCTCCAATTATTGTGATTCCCTGCCATTTTTCTTTTCTAAAAAAGGCAAAGCACCTTGGTGCAATTATTGACTAGCACTGTTAAATATCTTAATTGTGTAAAAAAAGTCATTTTATTCAAATCATTATGAAAGTTGTATTTCTCAACCACCTAGCGGTCCACAAATCACAGGTGGAATCTTAAGTAACTAAAATCTACTGACCTCCTTTCAAACCTATGAATAGCCATGTTGGTCAGAATGTTCTGGGAGCTGTAGTCCTAATGCATTTGGGGGTATACCAATTTGAAGAAAAATTGTAAAAAGTAATCTTTGTGGCTACTTCATTAAGCATATCTGTTGCATATGGGAATTTGTGTCTTTCTCTGGGATGACAACAGGGTTAGAATTGGTCGTGCAATTCATGGTTCTCCATGCTACTATATTCCCAACCAGACCAATGGCTTTAAATTTGATCACACCAAATGATCATTAAAAAAAAAGGGTTTCTTTACACATCCTTACTTTGCTACTGAAACTATCTCTGCCATCTTGTCAGTCTTTATATAGGTTACTCTAACATATAAGAACTTTGCTGAAGGTATTCTAAAACTTCAAAATGTGCTCCTGTCACATGGGAGAGGAAGTGAGTTAAAGATAAGAATCATATCTATCTTCCTTAGTAGAGGTGTGCAGTGTTTGGACCTGAAACAGGCAACGGTATGCTGTTTTGACCTCCTTAACACTTCCTGCACAGCTACTGTGGATATGTCATGGCTCTTTCAAGGAGCTGCCAACAAGTACAGTTCTAAATCCTAACCTTGCTTATATGAGCCTTGCAAGCTAGAGAATGGGAGATCAGAGACCAATTTTTCTCTCCTACCCATTAATGATTTCTTTGGGAAAGAAAGAGGAAAACTCAGCCCCTTACTGGCCCACAACTTGGATCGATATAAACTCTCAAATATAATTTGGAAATACTGTATTAAATGAGCAGGTCCATTAACTGCAATTTTTTTTAAAAAAAGAAGCAATCGTTTGTAAGACAGAATGCTTATAATAGCAAAGGGGAAGAACACTGGTATCCCTGGTTTGAACTAGAAAGTAAATACAGGATGAACTTGGAGAAAAATTAACATTGCTGCCAAACCATAACTTGTTTCCTGATCTTGATGTTCTTTCAGTTTTGGAAATAAATATATGCAGTTGCACCTGTAAAGAACCCTAATCCAAATGTACAAACTTGTTAGGGCCACACTTTAAATCTGTGGTTGGAACAAACTATCGTTATTGAAAATAATGATGAATCTGTAATGCTATCTGTTGTTAATTTAAAAAGAGGGCGTTTTCCCATGCATGGGAAAAGAAGGAACACATTATTATGCTACAGTTTAATATTGTAACACTACTGCACTGGCTGGATTCTAAATCCTCTCCCCCACCCCGCCAATTTAAGAGTTATCAGTACTGGAATATTAAGCATATGTCCAAATAAGTGCTTCTGTGAGCTGTGTATTTCAGTGCTATTGACTAAAGATTATACAAACATCTAAGGTAACTCAACAGTATTTTAGTCTTTGCAACCGTCGTTGTCCTCAATTCATGAATTAGCAAAACATAAAACGTGAGTCATTTTTTCTCCCACCTTTGGATAGGGATTTTTCAAAAGGTAAGTTAGTAGACTTTAAAAATCTTTATCATGGAACTGGAAGGAAGAAAAAGGAAACTATATGTTAGAAGTTCACCTACCACTGATTTCAAATTGAAATGGGGTTTTCTTTATGAATTAGTATTTAGAATAATCACACCAATAAGTCTTAAGATGGGGGTGGCAAACTTTGCATTACCATGACCAACTAAAATGAATTTGTGTAACCTGTACACCCCCCCCCATGAATAAAACTAACGATTTCACTGTGATTTAGACTGGACAAGAAAAAAAAACAGTTTGTTTTTAATGATGACATAATTTAAATATCGCAGGCATTCTCCAACTTTGCACAAGTACAACCTCCTCTTCCAGTTTGTGCAGGCAAAACAGGAAGCAAAGCTCAGAGCGAGCTTTGACAACCCTTCTGCTTGCAAAATGAGTGGTGTCAAAACTTGCTCCTTATTTAGCTTGGTTAAGCCCACATGGGGTTTGTACAGCTAAAGCAGGAAGTAAAATCTGCAGCAAGTTTTGCTGGTGCTCCCATTTTGCCTATGCATGCCTGATCAGGTTTTTAAAAAATGCAACCCCCTCTAATTTGTTCATGATCTCCTGGTAGTCACAACCCACAGTTTGAGAACTTAGGTCTTAAGATAAAGGCTTTAAGTGGTATCAAAAACAATGGCAGTAGCTACCTAGGGATACCCTGTCACTTAAAATAGCTGTATGGTACCTACTTTTATTCTTTTGATGCCTGAACAGGTGACTTGCTGACAGTTGTATAACTCAATTCTCTCTAAGTTGTGGCAATTCTCAAGATGTTCTAGAGTCACATCTGTGATAGAAGACAGTTGTCCAGCTCCAGTATCTGGAGCATTTCATGTCCACATGTGCTGTTGCTCAGATGCAGAATACCATCATCTGTGATCAGCTCACAGTGCGACAAGCTCTAAAACAAAAAGCAACATATGAAATTTAGCTTATTTAAAGGTAAACTTCCTAATTTAGACAACAACTTCCACTGGAAAAATGGCCTTTCAATTTTAGTACAAGTTATTTTTGTCCTGCTTTCATTGTGAAAAGCAAAACTATCCAGGAGTCCTAGATTCTTTGATCTGCAGGTTTTGTTTAGTTAAAGTAATACAAACACCCAAACCAGGTGTGAGAAACTAAATCTAATGGAAAAAATGGATTCAGTCTTCCATCTCTTCTGGCAGGTCAGGTGATATCCATGTATGGGATATTGGGAAGGAAAGCTCCACCCTTTAATATCCTCCATATTGTCCATGTAAGAAGGGGCAGGAAGCAATGGGTCTCCACTTCTTGAATGAAGGATGCCTTAGCTCAAATCCAGGCCTTTTGAATTCCAACAGGAGTGTGAAAGGTGCAGCTCTACTTAGTCTGCCTCATTTCTTCTTTCCCTTCCCTGTTTAGTTTGAGTTGCCAAACTATGTTGCTTGATAGGAAACAATGACCTCCTCGCATATTCAATTTGATATCTTAGCAGGTACAGTGTTTGCAGTAGTCCATTATTCCATTCTCCCAATGATGGAAATGAGCTAGGAAAAGAAAAAAATAGGTAATTTATTAGATTATTAAAGGCTCTGTCTCTGGAGTTAGCATGGTTTCTACCAACTTCAAATTCCATTCATACATATACAAACAAGAGGGAATAGACTAAATGAATTATTTGCTTCCACCTGTGCTGCAGAAAATGTAGCCTCAAACTTATTTCAAACCAGAATTCATAACACCTGCATAGCAAAAAGAATCTTCAACTGCATTATTCTAAGCATTGTCTATTGATAAGATGAAATGAAGCATGTGAACTGAAAAAAACAGCTTTGAAATGAAACTATTTCAGTAAAAGAGAGAGAGAAACAGAGAGAGAGAGAGAGAGAAAATAGCTTATTTTACAGTCCTCAAACCAAATTAATAATGCGAAACTTACCAATACTTGCAGTTTAAGGCAATGAATGGAAACCTGTATCAATGTGTTGTCTTCAATCTAAAAAGGAAAAAAAAAAACTGTAGAAGACTGGTTAACATAGCAGTGGACAAAGGACTTCTGAAGCACTTTGTCATCCTTTAACTAAGTACTTTAATTGCCATTAAATACTTCACTGAGATTTGACACAAAGGCATTGCATAAATGGCTCTTACCAGAACACATTCTTCTAGGTCCATCTTTTCCAGTTTGTGGCAACTCTAAAATTGGAACAGATAGTTAAAACAAGGTTGAACTTAAAAGTTGAAGTTCCCTATGATATGTTCATGTTTTATATATTTTTGACAAGTGTTAGAAGTTAGTAATTCAGGACAAATAAACTAAATCCTCAAGAAAAATAAATTCATGGCATTCTTAGTGAGTTTATGCTTGTATATAATAATTTCAAGATATACCTAATAAATCTGCCCCAAACTAATCTTCTCTTTATATTGGTAAAAATACAGAAGTATACCTAGAAAATCCATATTTTTAAAAGTCAGTGCTATGCTCTGAGAAACCCAGTTATAAGGCTTCACCCATCACTGAAATTCATTGGACTTGGATAAGTCACTAGCCTAAGGTGACTAGCTGTCTTCTAAATTTTTTGGATTTTTAAATCTCATCAGTCCCAACTAGAACAGCCAATGGCAAAGGCATTGGAAGCTGAAATTCAAAAATATATGGAAGACACTAGGATTCTTGCCCCAGCTATAGCTTAATTGCTGTAATCTAGCTTGCATTAAAATCTTGTTGCCAAAAGCTTGTTTCAGGTAATTTAAAAGAAGGGTGAGATACAAATATCAATAATAAAATATTAACCTTATCTACCTGCGCTAGAAGAGTAAAACCAACATCTGTAAGATGGGAACATTGTGCAACTTCCAGATTCCTGAAAAAAAATATTATTAAAGGTCAGCATAATTTAAAAGGATGTTCTTATGTTGAGATTAAGAACAGAACAAGGAATGTACAGAACAAGAAATAAATCAGTAGAAGCATATTCACTTCCAAGAAGATCATATACCTTCCTCTTTTGGCAACAAGATTTGTTTTCAAGTTTTACAACATCATTATAACCCTATGCCTATAACTGATATATTACCAAATAAAAATATTGATTCACACCTGAAAATACTTTTGTGGAATCAGAGAAAATGAACAAAGGTAAAATCTATTATGGTTGGTCCTTGCACTCACTGGTAAAGATGGACAGTAAGAAATACTCATTGTTAATGTTCTGAAATTTACCTACTCCTGACATTCCATATTCTGTCACAGATGAAAACCCCGAGGCTAAACAATTAACCATTTTTCAAAGTCTTCATATTTTTAGAGGATCATTAATGGTCTTCCAGATGTTCTTGAGCTGTAACTTCCCAATAGCAGCCACCTGCATAAGCAGTGATAAAATATGCTAAGATATTTAGTCCAACAACATCTGGAGAACAAAAGGTTCCACAACCATACTTTGCACTAAACCATCAATAATTGGCTTTATTAGATTGTCATAATAGTTTAAGGGACTAGGATTCAAATCCTCTGTAATGAGAAAAACATGGACAGGTCACTTTCAGCTTGGCATACCTCACAGGATTGTCATAAAATAAATGGAAGGACTCACATAGGTTGTACTGAAAAAGGTGATATAAATATAGTAATTATAAACTAGAACCCTTATTCTCCTGTCTCTGGTTTGGTCTCTGGGAGTCTAAAATATTATATTTGTACTTAAGCTTTTCAGTATAAGCAAGTACATGTGGCTTCAGCTCATTGCTTTTTAATTTGGGAAAATAAGCAACCACTCATTTTATTGTTGTGAGGATGCCTGAGAACACTAAGTTCTAGATTTTTGCAACAAACGTTTAGAACGTAAGCTGAAGCTGTTTGCAATTCCCCAGAGGAGCAATTTCTGACTAGAGCAATGCAAAATTTTAAAATTAAAGACTTCTAAAATGAAAAAAAGCAGAGGGAAAAATAATTGCATCTATAACTGAAATAAAATCACAAAACAAAGAAAAGTGCATCAACCTTTCTCTAGTCACCTTAAGAGAAATAATGCAGAAATACATTGCAAATTTCATCTCCACAGACTCTAAGAAGAAGTGGGAGGGGAACAATATCAGGCAGAGGGAGGTTCATCACAAACAGACTTGTGCATAAATACCAAAAGGCCAGCAAGGGACTGACATGGGGGCACAGGGGGGACCTTAAAGATGAGTAGATTTAATGTATCAGAAGTTGTTATGGAGAAAATTCTACTGTCCATAAATAATTTAAAATAATTATTTATTTCACTCTAATGATTTTAAATTATTACTAAGAACAATATTAGGCACTCTAATATTTCTTCAGGGTTATTCTGTAATGTAGAATTGCTTTGCAATCAGTTACCAGGAACGAATATGTTTTTAAAAGATTACTACAAGTCACACAGGTATTCTAGTCTTATGTACAGGTAGTCCTCACTCAACGACCACAATAGGGACTGAAAAATTCGTTAAGTGGGGCAGTTGTTAAGCGAGTCACACCTGATTTATGCATACCTTTTTGCAGCAGTTATTAAGCAAATCATGCAGTTGTCAATCATGTGGTTGATCACATAGAATCATGCAGTTCCCCACTGACTTTGTTTGCCAAAAGCTGGCTGGGAAGGTCACAAATGGCAATCATATGACCCCGGGATGCTGCAACCATTATAAGTGTAAGACAGTTGCCAAGCGCCCGGATCGCAATCACATGACCATGGGGGTGCTGTGACAGTTGTAAGTGCGAGGACTGGTTGTAAGTCCCTTTGTTCAGCACTGTTGAAACTTTGAACAGTCACTAAATGAATGGTTGTTAAGTGAGGACTACCTGTACTTTGTAGCAAGCTTCTTGGGGATGTCTTGTGGATAAACTTACACTGGAGCGCAGTGATAATTACTTACTACCAAAAAATATTAGGCATCTACTATACTCATCAGTTCAAGACCAAATAACACCAGGCATTAATGTAAGAAAAACTTACATTAATTGCCCAAGTCTCAAGTAAATATTTCTCATTAATGTCAGAAACACTTACATTAATGAGAAATACTTACTTGAGACTTGGACAATTCAGACCAAGAGAAGCACCTGTAAGGTTTGTACAACCAGAAACACAAAGTGATTGAAGGTGGTGCATCCTCTACAGATACTGTTTATGCCTTCATCTGATATTTGCTGTAACAAACAAGGGCGGATAACTTTTCACCTGTAAAGTTATATTATCTCTCAAGCTAAAACACTGTTTATCTTATGGCTGAGTAACCAGCACATTATTGTCAACAATATCTGATCTTGCCAGCTGGCTTTTCCTGATGGATTGTTTTGCTGTTCATTGTAAAGCTTGTTGTGTCATCAATCTACGATCTACCTTCATTAATCTTTAATTAATGGCAAGTGGAAGCCACAAAAAACATAAAAAGATTTAAATGAGATGGCATCCACAAGCAAAGAAAAAGCCTTAACAAGCCAAGAGATCATTAGGTAGGCAGAGTGCCAGGGCAAAACCAGATGGTGCAGTTCATGACTAAACCACAAGCTATGCTAGTTGTGACCTCTGAACATAGTCCCTTTATCATTCTATTTAGTCATCTGGGAAACAGTTCAAACACAGCACTAATTTTTGTCAGATATTTCCTAACATGGCATGACTTCTTT